TTTGTTCAGCCAATTCCATCTATCAAAGGCATGTAGCAATTGGGAAATCAAGTCGTCATACATTGACAAATTCCTTTTTGCCTCTATTCTCCGTACCGCGGGGCTTGGATTTTAAAGACAACATCATCGTCCCATCGCCGCTTAACACTGAAATCCTGAGGGTTGAGTAGCGGGTTGCCTCGGGCAATATCGACCTCGCGTTTCTCCTTCTCCTGAGCTTCTCTCTCTTGCTCCTAACGACCGTCTTGTTTCAGCATACTCTAGTTGCGCAATGAAAGGAAAGGAACAGAACTTGTGATGATGCACAAACCTCTTTCGCCTTCTGCTCAGCCCGTTCCCTCTTAATCTTTTCCAATTCCCGCATTAGCTCCGCAGTCTCATCTTCGTCATCATCACTATTTATCCAATCAGCGTCATATATCTCAAGTGCAACCCCTGGTGTCGTCGCCTACCTCTCGTCTTCACTAGTATCACTCTCTGAACCGGCCGAATCCGCATCTATATCCCGCGTTTCCTCTAATATCCACCGTCTCTTAGCTTCCGGGTCCTCTATTTCTCCATTTTCATATTCGCTTGGCCCATTCTCTAGCTGGCGTTTCGGTATAGATGGATCGATCGCAGTTGTAGATGGCGCGGATTTATCTTGGGAAATACCCTTCTTGGCAAAATGAGCGGCCTCGGCTTTCAGGAGCTCGGCTCTCAGATCGCGCTTCTCGTCCGCATCACCACCTTGGCCAGGTTGTCTAGTAACGATGGACGTCAGTGACATGGGAACCCTGGCTGGGAGAGTATAATGCGGATCTCATACCTGGTTTTGAGGAACGTATGTGCGGGGAGAAGACGCTGGTGATAGGCGGGGCCTCTCAGAGCCTCCTTGCCTCGAGCCTACTCCAAACTATGAGTTTGTTGTACTTTTGTGATTGTTGAGGAAGGGTAGCTTACCGGATCGAAAGTTGGTCTGTGTGCTGGAGGAGAATTAGCAACCCAGTTCGTTGACAGGATAGATGTTACACATACCTGTAGTCATTTTGGACCTTGCAATAGCAATGAATCTTTTTGAAAGAAAGATAAAGGAAAGTATAAAGGGATAGAGTTAACTGGAGCAGCGTGCTTCTTCGTTGGTAATGAAGGAACATCGACGTGACAATTAAATGCCAAGAGATATGCGTTTAGTCATCAGGAGCTATAAACGGATAAACATTGATGCGTTATAAGCATATTTGGAAATTAGAGATGTGCCATCTATTCTATATTGGATAGAAACGCCTGAGCATGCCGAAGGAAGCTGATATTTCGGCTAACGAGCGCGCATTCATCTTGGAGGCTCTCCATAAAAATGTGCGACTCGATGGCCGTGCTCTAGACCAGCTCCGCCCGTTGACTGTGTCCTTCGGCGATGAATATGGACATGTCAAGCTGCAATTGGGGAAAACTAGGTTCGTTCGTTCGCCTCCGCTGGCTTGCCGGGGATAGAAAAGGCTCTGTATCATTCGATTTTTGCTTGCACAAAGTAAACTACGTTATATATTTTATTAACTTACACGTATATTAGTGT